TTTGTGCGGACTATGGTAGTGTTCTGAATATAGATGGTAAAATGTCAAGTCAATTACTTTCAGACGTATGCAGTGGGGATCACAGAAAAAAGTTCTTCCTCCTGGAGCTGAGAGGTATGAACAACTTTTGTGTTTTAATATTCATGCAAGGCTTACATACATGTAGTTTCTTTATGTTTGTGTAATAGGTGATTTCCCGTTCAACTGCAAGCTGCAGATGAAAGATGCGTACATAACGTCTCAACAAAAAATCAAACAATTTGATTTTGAACTTGAATTTCTTTATTTCGTAGCTCACATCGAAAGACCGATCTTTGACTGGGGAATATTTGAATACCCTTAGTTCAATGAAATTGACCATCATGAAATAACCCCCAAAATACTTTCACGTTTGTGGAATTCCATGCAATGTTTGTTGCCACTATGGTCTTTATTTGTCCTGATTTTACGTTTGATTTCACACATAACGCGGGATCTTGCAGTGAACGGAAAATGGTTTATTCAATAGATGGACATGGCTTTCTGTTGAATAAGCATATTTAGGCATAGCTTACATAGTTTCTCTATGCATTCAATTAGATGTGCAAGGCTTTACGATAATTTCTGTGTTTGCGTTTGTGGGCAATGTTTTCATAGTTTTTCTATGTTTGAGTAATTAAATTGATGGGCAAATCTTGTATAGCTTCTTTGTGTTTTGTGTTGTATACAGAGTTGCTATTGAGTTCCTGTCTTCAAAGTCATTTTGTACCAACTCACAGCACCCACTCGGTTACATAGATATGAAGAGAAGACACTTGGAAATAATGGGATATAGATACGTAGCGGTATGTACTGATATTTTGTATAATTTCACTGGTGTACTTATGAAATAAACATTCACTGGTATTCATCCTAGCTATCAGTGTACCGTATTTGCTCTATTATTAGTGCATGCATTAACATAAATTACAGAGATTTTCATGTGGTCAAAATAATTAAGTACATGTATATGTATTCAGCCAATGCAAGGTTTGGTTTACACTTCTACATATACTGTAAGTTGCTTTCATTTTTCAAGAGACAAATTTGTGTGCATTTTCGTGACTCAGTAAAAATTAAGTAAAAGTAACAATTTCTTTGATGCCCTGCTAAACTGAGTGTCGGTGACTTTTTGCAAAATATCTTTTTTATGTATGATGTAAAATCGTTAAAATTTTCAATAGTGAGATTCAAATGATTTACATCTTACATTTGATAAGGAATTACTTCACTGTCTAAACCAAATTCAAACCATTTTGAAGTCACTTCAATACACATTACAACAATCCTCTAATTTACTCAAATTTCTTTGTTCAGTAAAACTATTTCCAGCTTGCAAGACGTTTTCTAAAGTCAACGTCTGAACTATTTGCCTATTAATTGACGTCGTCTTTTTTTCATATCACGTCTTTGTAGATTCCCCATTTTGAATGGTTTTCTATGAAACTGTCAAGCAGTGATGATTATAGAGAATATTTAAGAGAAAAACTATTCGCACAAAAAGATCCAGACTATTTAGAAGGTGCATTGGTGTACAAGATGTTACCTGCGTTGACGTGATATTGCCCTGCCAGGGCTTGCATGTAAAGTTATGAAGTTGTAAGTTAATTTCAGTGAGACTTCTTCGTGGATGTACTATAGGGATGGAAACTTGTCAGAACTCGTAAATATACCCATCACTAATACTGTGCAAGTGTCATGCACACAGCGATCAAACGTCTTCTGAACTACGTCATCACAGAACACAAAGGACACATGGAAAAGATGAATTGCAGAAAAGAAAATCGACGAGACAATCAACATAATCAATAAGGAATATGCAAGGACACTAGAAACAAATTAAATTTTAGAACTGCTTAAAAATCAACCGTCCGATTGCTTTGATGTATTTGAGTAATTGAAACAGTTGAAGATGTCTATAATGGTTATTTTTGTAAAATATTATTTGTGGCTTCTTTAAACCACAAGTCCATGTATGGTTGATAATTTGCTGCAATAATGGGAAGTACCACTGCAAAGTCTCCTCCAGTGAAATAAAGTGATGTATAAAGTCACTTATTTATAAATTTTGGTCAGCCAAGATGGTGTTAAGAAACACAAGTATCTTCGATCTGATGAGGAGCCTAGGTTGTATTACTAGGAATCCAGTGTCTGACAGAAAAAGTAAAGCAACCATGCATAAATATATTATAGTACAAACTAAATGTTCACGTTTCAAAGTAAAATACTAGTACTAGTAGTTACGCAGCATACATTGTATACGTAGATTAAAAATGGGTACATTGGGTGGGAGAAAAGGCTGCAATACAGGTGTTTATTAACTATGCAAATTAAGGGCTGCTTGTGATTGGCTGCGCTTGCAAAGTCCACAGATGCATGTAAATTATTAAGTCTTAAATTGAAGCATTTAACTAACCATGAGATAGTTTTGATTCATATTGTTTGTGAACTTGTATTTGTCAGTTTTTAAGCGAGTTTATGTAATAAACTAATTTGACCTAAGGTTGTGTGCACATCATTTCTCATCCCATGTTTAGTATTCATTGACCTGTTAATGTGACATTGAAAAATATATAACGTATCCATTAGAAATATAGTTAGTAATTGCATTTTATTAAGTCGGTAATTGAAATAGGAATTAATTGAACAGTGAGCTGCTGTGATATGAAAAAACTGTTTCAATATGGTTCATACATCTACAGTTGTAGTAATATTTAATATTACTTTTCATTGGTAATTTGTAATAGAATCAATTAGAGGGTGGATGAAGTGGTTTTGACCTCCAATGATATCAGTAGCAGCAGATCAATCAGTGTTGACTGATGTTGGTAATGGTTTGGAAATGTAAATATGCTTGGGGGCAGAGCTACGTCACAGAATGTTCTATGTTGCTTAGATATAATAATAATGCACCACTCTACCAAGTATTTCTATGAGCTTTTTACAAGCGGCTAAAAGTCAAAGAAACAGCACAAACTCAACTTTGAAGTATTCCTAAGCAAACCAAATTTATGTGTGTTGCACATGTAGAGGTGATCTTGTTAGTCTTAACAACTATCGCAAATAACATTTTTAAGAGTTTTCACCACAATGGTTGCCAGTTCGTGAACATAACTGGATGTCTGTCAGAGGATAGATCTGATAAAGGTATGTACATGCATGTTGAAATGTCACCACTTTGACATAAAATCTACATCTATTATAATAGTAGTTTGTGGTATTGAAGCAACAATAGCTGCAACTATTTAATCAGATCTTTTTTTGCACAAATTTATTTTTAACAAGTCATTGTGAATGACAAGTT